TCAGACACCTGTAGGTGGCTGCCTCTTGCACCAGGTGGGCAGAGGGGGTTGAAGGTGGCTAGGAGCTGGAGCCCCATGTGCTGGGGCAAAAGCCAGCTGGCTGCAGCTTCCCCCCACCACCACTTGGCAGGGTGTATGGTGCCTGGCATGTGTCCCCAAGGCTTCCCTGCAGTGCAGCAGGGACAGGAGGAGGAGGAGTTGCTGCTGGAGGTGGGGGGAACAGAGCAGCACCTGGGTGACTGAAGCCACACCAGAAGCAGCCCCATTGTGTGGGCTGGCCTGTGTGGCCGGGAGCATGGTGCAGGATGCCCCAGGTGGGAGCAGACAGGGCTCAGTCCCATGAGAAGTGCTGGGAGTGTAGCCATGAGCCAGATGCAGGGGGGGTGTAGACCACACCTGTACCTCACACCCCAGCTGAGTTGTGCTGCATGCATCTAACATAAGCCTTTGTAACAATTTACCCATTGCAGTCTCTTTCCTTCATTTACACAAATGTTTTATTTAAATCTCCCACTATGCCACTACCACTTCTTCAAATGTATCAAGAGCAATAGCTCTTATTGGTTAATATAAAGATGCCTCCTCCAACTTCTGGCCTCTTAACAAGCAAAAGGCAGGAAAGCTATGCACCTTTATACCAAGAAAGTCATCAACACCTGTTCTGAGCAATGTGAGATAATGTGATTTAAATGCTTTAAATGCTGTCAGGAGGATTCCACCATGCACAGAATGCCACAGTGTAGTTGTAGCGATACAAAGAAGGAACGGACAGGTCTTCCAGTCCCACCAGTTTCCCACCATTGCTAGTGCCTGGGGAGCTGCAACTGTGGGAGGTTTTTAAGACAAATGGTAGAATGGACACCCCCCAATTGGCACAGGAGTACTAGGTGAATGAAAGTTTAACCTGAAGAAGAGCTAGCTGGAGTGTGTTAAGTGGAGAATGTAGTAATGGCTGCAGGGCAGTAAACAGATGATAATGCTTGGCATTTACATAGAGCTTTTTGAAGCACTGTAAAACACTGGAGTTTTTCTGAGTATGAGTCATGACAACAATAATGTTTACCTAACAGCATTTAACTCACAGGACCACATGCTAAGAAAGGTAAGAAGTAGCGTCACAGTTTCATAGATTTTATTTAGTATATCCTTAGCCACGGCAGGACTCACCAGCTGAGCTCAGATGAGACAGTGTCGACAGCTTCCTGGGTTGGCTGCTGCCCTTGCTTTCTTGCTAAGGCCTGGGCCACGGTGACTGGGAGCTGAAGAACAGGACTGATTCTCACAGAAACATCTTGTAGCTCTGTTGTTCCCATATAGATTGGGTTTTACTTGATCTCAAACCCTCTCTGTTTTGTTCTACCCTGAACACATAGGATGTTTGTTCATGTGATGATGTCATGATATACATGTGACAAAAGTGTCACTTTGCGTGGCTTAATGGCATCACACATTACACATGTGCCAGTTTCAGGGGATTTAGATGAGTTTGCATCGTTGCAGCTATTAGGCAGCTCATCCCCTGGCCACAAGAGAGGTGGGCAGGCTCAGAAGAAAAACAGGATTGGGCCCCTTCCACTTCAGTCTTCAAGGCAGAAGTGGCGAGAGGCCTGATTTTTTTTTTTTTTCCCAGTGGAGACTGCCCACAGCTGGGGAGCAAGCTGATGGCAGGCTGAGTGGCCTCTGAGCTACGGGGGGCCCCAGTCCTTCCCTCCACAGCAGCAACACCTCCCAGGGTTGCCCAGATGGGCTACTAGTGGACCAGGGGTTGCCCCAACTTGGGGACAGCACCCAGCCCGATACAACTCTTCCCTGGGTGCATTGCTACCATAGGGGGAAGGACCGGGGACCCCCATAGCTCAGGGGCCACTCAGCCCAGTGGCAGCTTTTCCACCAGCCACAGGCAGGCTCCAAAGGAAAAAAAAATAACAACAATTGGTCCCCTTGCTGTAACATGGTAGAAAAATAAAGCCCCTAAATTGAAACGGTTGGTTTCAATTAAAAACCCACTATTTCAATTTAGGGGCATAGACCCCCATCACATGTACAAGCACCCAAGGGGTCACAATTGAGCAGAATCTGAGAGACCTCTGCAGGGCCGGAGAAGAACATAATGTCACTTGGCTCAACCACCTTCTTGGAACGGATCCTGAGGGGATCCATGAGGCACCATTGAAACTAGGCTGAGAAACTGTGTGCATGGAGAAATAAAAACTAGCTCACTGAATGGCAAAAGCCCCCCTAGAACACTAATCAGGTGTTATTTGGCTGATGAGTAAGTGGAACAAATGTTTGAACCTATCCTATTAATCCCTTAGATAATTTTCAATATCTTAAATCTGTCAAGACAAAATCTTTTCCTTTGCCATTGAAAATGTCCCCGAGTTCCTCAGGCAAATGCCTTAGAGAGCAAATCTGTCTGCTCAACATTGCACCCTCATGGGCACTTATATCTTTTCTGAGGTGTGATGTTCAGAATTGTTTATAGTACTCAAGGTGCAGTCTAACTACTTTATATACAATAATACTATCTTCCTTGATTTATATTGTATTTCTCTGACAATTCCATTTGCCTTCTTCAATACACAAGCACAGGGGGTTGAAGGCCATGGGGAATAGCTCTATAATAACTCCCAAATTTATTTTGAACTCCTAGTAATATGCTGTTGTGCCTTTCTATTTGTTACTTGGTTGAATTATTTGTGCCAAAATCTGTAAATACCACGGCAGCTGCACTCTCCTGGGACAATGCAGATCACAAAGCTCAGGACAGAGTACCAGAGAGCTGGAGAATTCAGCTATGGGACAGATTTCCAGGGGAGATCAGGCAAATCAAGTGTGATCTGATCATCAGAAGAAAAATGCTGCAGAACCTTCCTCTTAAAAGGCATTTGCAGCAGAAGAATACTATATATTTTGCATACCACATGCCCCAAAATAAAATATGCACCTTATTTCTGGAGAGGTAGAATAAAGAAAAACATGTATTTTCCAAAAATATGGCTGCATATAGCAGGTACAGAGCCTAATGTTCAGCTCACTCATCCACACTTTTCTGGTTAACCAAAAATGGAAATCCTAGCCATGAGTGGATCTATGCTTTTGAAAAGAGCTGAAATGTCTCCAGGGCAGTGAAAAAGAAGAGGAGAAACCAGGAGCAGGTAGCAGACAGCAAAATTTCCTGAAGACATTTTAGCTTAATTAGACCCTAAAAAAGATGAGGTGACCATTTATACCTATGGAGTGAAGAACAATGACCCATTAAAGCAAGTGACTCCCTCAGCTGCCTGAATACAGCCTGCAGAGTACCCCACTGCTACTCAAAGCTGATAAGCAGGCAAGGTTCTTTGGGTGAATATGGTATCTTTTATTAGACCAACTTAAATAGTTGGAAAACAATTATTAAGCAAACTTTCAGGTTCAAAAACCCTTCATCAGGCTAAGGAAGATTCAGTAGTTGGTGTGTACTCTTCCGGGATGGAATGAAAAGTAAGGAAGCCAGAGGCTGGTCTGGTGTGCATAAAAGACAGGCAGTCAGTTAAAATGTAGATTGAGGAGTCAATGGGTGAGAGACAGGCTCAGGCAGGAGGGGAGAGAGAAGGGGGATGAATATTGGAGAGATACCTGAGGAGTCAGATGTCGGGCAGGTTATGATGTGTCATAAATCCAATGTCTATATTTAGTCCATGATTTTTAATATCCAGGAGGTTGATGAAGTGCAATTCATAAGCTCGCTGGACCTGGTCCTGGCCACAGGCAAGGCCAGGTGCTTGACCACCTGGGCGATAGCGATCATCGCCTACTGGAATTCACCATCCAGCACAGGGTGTCAAGGGCCTGCAGCAAGGCAGTAGCCCTTGACTTCAGGAGGGCCGACTTCAATGAGTTGAGATTGATAGGAGAGGCATTGTGGTCCCAGAGAGTAGGGGAACTAGGTGACCAAGACAAGCGGTTGTTCCTTAAGGAAACGATCCTCCGAGCTCAAGGGGTGACAGTCCCAATGCAAGTCAAAGGGGGCAAGAGTGCTCAAAGGCCCCCTTGTCTCACCAAAGGCATTCAAGAACATCTGAAAGCCAAAAAGGGGGCATACATCCAGTGGAAGGTGGGGTGCTATCACCAAAGAGGATTATACCTCCATAGCAAGAGTCTGTAGGGAGGCTGTTAGGAAGGCTAAGGCGGGGATGGAACTAGGGATAGCAACAAGGATCAAGGACAACAAAAAGTCCTTTTTTAAATACAGAGGGAGTAAAAATAAGGAGGCACCAGGCAACATGGGGCCCCTGCAGGATACACTTGGCAATCTGATGGTTGCACCAGATGAAAAAGCAGACCTTTTTAACAAATTCTTTGCCTCCATTTTTCTGAGCGGGGACCGGGACTTCTCCCCCACTGGGATTCAGGACAGACTTAGAAGTGACTCCGCCAGGCCTAGGGTAAGGGAGGACTGACT